CTCTCTCTCTCTCTCTCTCTCTCTCTCTCTCTCTCTCTCTCTCTCTCTCTCTCTCTCTCTCTCTCTCTCTCTCTTAGCCCACTGAGAGAGAGACAGAAAGTGGTTGGGAATTTTTTCTTTTGTGATATCATAGTATTTACTTTGTGCTTATATAGCCTACTATAAGGGTCCCATTGTGTGTGGGGGGGGGGGGTTGCTGATCACAGTTAACAGGAAATTAAATTGTCAATTAACAAATCACAGCAAATAAAACTTAATTCATTTCTCATTGAAAATGCAAGTTGAAAATCACATTACTTCGTTTGACAAAGAACAAGAAGCTGCAGTAACAAATTACAGGAATGGGGAGCTTCACAAATCACGCTAAATAGTATGAACATTTCACGCATCTTGGGGGGAGGAGGATAAAAAGGTTGCTTTTACAGGTACAGAAAAAAAACCAAGGGGACCCTTGACTATCATACTACCCTCACCCCAAGTTTATTCTCTAATTGAAACCAATATTTCTTTCAGGTTCTTTGATATTCCCATGGATGTCCTGCCAGAGATCAGGAGCAGTGGAGAAGTGTATGGGCACCTGGCAGCGGGGCCCCTGAAAGGTCTTCCTATAGCAGGTGTCCTTGGTGACCAGCAGTCTGCCCTGGTGGGACAGGCCTGCCTCAGCAAGGGGAAGGCCAAAAACACGTAGGTGTATGGATCATGTGAAAAGGTGTGGGGGGAATTTCTAAATGTCAAGATGAGAAAGTATAAATGCTCTCTCTTGTTACATCTTTATATATATAATAAGTGGCTAAGTTTGAACCATTGCCCATGTATTCCATGTTATTGATGTTGGCACTTGGTGAAAAAAAATTCAGCGTTCATTGATTTACTGTATATATATATATATATATATATATATATATATATATATTTGCCAATTACCAGAATCATTCTGTATCAAGTTTTGTTTATGTGTGTCCACATTTTGATGTTTTCTTTCCAGGTATGGTACTGGCTGCTTTCTTCTCTACAACACAGGTACAGAGGTAGGTAGAACAGAGCTGAGCAGACAGGATAAAAGATTTAACTCGTGTTTCTTTATTTAATTATTTCTTATCTGACAGTTGTTTTATGATCATTGATCGAACTGTGGACTGAAATTTAAAAAAGAGTAATTATAGAATTTAATAATATTAGTGTCATGTTTTTTCATGCTTCTAACTAGAGTTTGTTTAAAACTTGTTTAGCTGACCCATACCCTTCTGATGGTCTGTTTTCCTTAATAATCAGTCCATTTATCTTGGGTGATGATGATCGCTATGTTGGTGAACATATATATTAAGGTTCTCATTCTTTTGTAGTTGGTGCTATCTGAAAATGGACTCCTCACTACAGTGGGGTACAAGTTTGGCAAGGAGCCAACAGTGTATGCCTTGGAGGTAAAAAAACATTTTCTTACTTAATCATAATTTAAACTGAATGCCAAATTAGGATCTTATTTACAGTCAGTGTATGGTTTTAGTAGATCTGTAGAGTGTTGTTTACCTTATGATTGTGTGAAATTGACGGCAAAATTTCATTGTATATGAAAGTGTGTCTTGTGCAAGGGTGAAGAAAAAAACATGTACTTTCACACCAGTTATCACTAATTCTCCCTATGTCTCCCCAGGGTTCTGTTGCTATAGCAGGTGCTGCTGTGAGGTGGTTAAGAGACAACCTAGGGGTCATAGACACCTCCCCAGATGTGGAGAAGCTGGCCAGCAGTGTGGACTCCACCCATGACTGTTACTTTGTCCCTGCTTTCTCTGGTCTCTTCTGTCCTTACTGGCAGTCTGATGCTAGAGGGTGAGTGTATGTGTGTTGGTGCATACGTGTGTGTGCATGCATATGTGCTTGGGATTGGTGTTGGATTTGTGTGTGTGTGTGTGTGTGTGTGTGTGTGTGTGTGTGTGCACTCTAGTTGTATATAATTTTATGTGTTCTGCATACTTTGTGTTATGTACATGCACATCCACGTGTTTAACCTGTGGAATTTAGTGTCTTCATTTGCAATGTAAATAAATGAATTAATTAAATAATTACCAAAAAATCAGTGAATGAATTTTTTTTTCTGTTGTAGAACAATCTGTGGGATCACTCAGTTCACCACCAAGGCTCATATTGCCAGGGCTGCACTAGAGGCAGTGTGCTTTCAGACAAGAGAGGTAATGCCCCCCATCCACCCATCCTCCCCCCAGAAACTTGTTTCAAAAAAGAGCTTTGATTAGACTGAAAATTGGTCTTAAATTTTAGACCCTATTTTTAGTCAACTGTGATCTACATAGCACATTTAGAAAAAAAAATCACTTCTCGGTTAACTGAAACTAACTCTCAACTTTTCCATCATAAAACATACTGCCACTTTCATTTTTCCTTTCAGCTTCTGGAAGCCATGAATCAAGACAGCAAGATCCCCCTGCAGTCCTTGCAGGTGGATGGAGGGATGACGGCCAACTCCCTACTGATGCAGCTCCAGGCCGACCTTCTGGGGATTCCTGTAGGTGAGGAAAAAGTAAAACTAGTGGAGTAGAGGGATTTTGGGATATCATGGGAATTGAGAACCTTTTTATCTTTAGGTTAGTGCTTTGAGAGTGAGTATGTGACTATGTGATTGATCTGGTTCTGTTTCTATGGCTAAACTTGGGGTTGTTCACAATTGGCACTTTCACTTTCCTGGTGCAATATTTGAAATTGTGCCATCACTGTTTTGAAAAATTGTGAAGCTGCATACTCTAATAAGGATGAAAGGATGTTTTTGCAATGAATGTAATACATATACTAGGTGATTTATGAATATTTAACTACATCCTGTTTCAGTCCGTCCGTCAATGCCAGAGACCACTGCACTTGGAGCAGCCATGGCAGCAGGATATGCAGTGGGAGTTTGGCAATTTGATTCAGGCACCCTTGGGGCTATTACAACAGACACCTTCACTCCCTCCATAACTCAGGAAGGTGAGCAAGTTGGTATATGCATGTATCTCTTTTCTTTAAATCAGGATTTATAAAAAAAATAAGCTTATCACAATTATGACAACCTGTTCCAAAATATTAGTTCTGATGAGTGATGGTGTTTGGGTATTTGTAGATCGTGATCACCAGTTTGCAAGATGGAAGAAAGCGGTAACAAGATGCATGAATTGGGCCGAGACTGAAGAGAAAGTGACAGGTGGGTGTTGAGGTCATTCCTAGCTATTTATGAGGTTTCTGTTTTGCATGATGTATGTTGTGCTTCAACCTCATTTGTATCTTGTAATTTAAAACTTACTTGAAGTGATTTGTTTTTTATGTGCAGACACTGTTCTTTCTGAACATATTAGCTGTGTTTGATCATTCTGATATTGAAAAAGGACACTTTTGGTTTTAATATACTGTTGTCTCCTTATATGCCTGAAATAAAAAGCATCCCCAGAATTCATCTTGGACATTTTTTTTTTCAAAATTTATGGCTCTTTTGGTTTAAGCTTAATATTGCCTTATGTAGACTTAAATTACCCATGCAGGTAATCAACAATTGCATGTCCTTCCTACAGCTTTCTTTCCCATTGTAAACATTATAAAGTCAACAAACATGCTTACAGAAATCTTGACAATGATATACTCCAATTCATCTTAAAGTAAAATGTGAAAGAAGTGTAGATTCCCTGTAATGCATATAAATCAATACTACTGGTACAACTTTCTTATACGGCTAGAATTAAGTCCACATGCCAAAGGATAAACCACATTATTCACTCAGACAGTCAAAAAAAAATTTTTTTAACTGCATCTTCTTCAAATTTCTCATAGTAAATTTGACCTATTTATCCATCCCTCCAGTTTGTAACTCTGCCAAATATAGCATTACTATGGACCTTTTGTAAAATATTAGTCATATAATTAGTAGAAGTGATTTATATGCGTTACAGGTAATCTACACTCTTGTCATATGTTTTTTATTGCAGTTTTTATGCAGATGCAAGTCTATGCATAAGTCAGCCTAAACTGTCTAGGCTATGCTATTAGACATCCCGAACATTATTTTATAATGTTATTATGTGCATCTAAAATGTTAAGGTTAACTTGCCTTGATAAATGATTCAGCTTGCATTATATTGGTTGCCCTTTAAGACTGTCTTGCAAGCAGAGAACTCTATATTTTTGTCAGAGGTGCCACCTACAGTTTTTGCACTACATGCAATTCCAGGTGCCTCTTCAGAATGAAAGCTGTAAGGTCATTCTGCAGAACCATTGTAAGTCATGTTTTATTTGAAACTGGCTGAATTGGAAGTTATGACTTCACTTTTCCTCTCATGCTGCAAAACTGCCTTCTTTTTGGTTTCATAGATATAGGATGAAATAACACCATTGTATACATTATAATTGTAATATATGTATGTTGAAAGTATGCACTCAGATGGTCAAATGAAGCAAAAATTGTCAAGTACACGCCACATGCAACTGCAAAGCAAATGAAAAGGTCATATGTGCATTGGTGCATAATACAACACAGTGAACACGCCAATGTAGAATAACAATATTTTTTGTGACTAGTTTTTGTTTATACATATAGAATAACTGGTGTTCATCATGATTACTGATAGTCATTGTGCCTCAGCAGGCTATGCTAGAGTTTATGTAAATTTTGTTGGGCTTAGCGGTTACAGCGCTTTGACACCATATTTGCTAGTTACAAGTGTGAACAAAATTCAGCTTATGTATAAAAACACACCAAAAAACCTAAAATGTTTACTGAAATACAACTTTGAACTGCCATGATGCATATTCTGAAAAAAAAAACAACAAAACTGGCATATTACTGTGAGACTGTCCTCAGGTTCTCCATTAAAAATCACAGACCTCCCTTTTGTTCACCAATTTCATATAGACTTTGGCACAAAGTGAGAATAAATAGCCACATTTATTTTCTGTAACTCAATGGAAGATTTTTACCAGCTTTGGTACAAGTAAAACATGATTTACTGAGTGCACATTCCGTATCCGTAGCTGGGGTGTACAGCCTGCATGATCTTGCATGTCTTCTGATAACCTCACAGAATCATATTTAATTTATTTGTTTGACTAGGGTAATTGGGCAGCACATATTTTGTTTTCCACTTTAACTCTCAAGTTGAAGTTACCAACCGGTTTTTACTTTAATTACTGGTTCTTTTTAATAGGGAAATTCTGAATTTTACAAATACTGTATTTTTTAACTTATAAAATTTTGATTTTAGAACATTCATATTGAATGGTAGCAACAAAACTGAAAAGCAGGCCATCTTGTATTTCTATTTTATGCAGTAAAAACACAACAAATGCTGCATAAAAAATATATATGTTAATGCTTCCAAAATTATATATCTGAAAGATTAATAATTTTCCCTATTGAAAAGATCGAGTCATAACTGTAATCCTGTCATGGAATGAAAATATCTTGTAAAATAAAAATTGTAAATTGTAAAAGGTTTCTTTTCAGATAATTTTTCACTGTATTCCAATGAAAGCATATTCCAACTCTGGGTGTAATTATAAGTTTGCATGCATCATTTTATGCCATATGGTTCTTTGAGGTTGATATATTATTGCTTGAATGCAGCCCTGCTATTTTTTACTATCTATAAATACTTTATTCTTCCAGTTGTGCAGCCTTTATATTACTTCATGCTATAATTTTCATAATGAATATTGGTACCCAAATTCTTCAAAGTGTCTTGCAAGCAAATCGTGTAAATTTATATTATTTGATGTACATGCAGCACTGACATATATAAATAAAAACCTTTATCAATGCTGTAACTTTCTGAACAGTAACAGTCAAGCATGGTTAGGTTTGATATTGTAACGATGATCATGCTGCCTTGGCTATATGCCAAATGATACAAGAGATTGAGAGCTGCATTTAAAAACCAAATAATAATTATATATTTCAGTATTTGATTTTTATTATCATTTATTATTATAATTATTATTAGTTTGATTTTTACAATAATTTATCATTATTATTGTTGCTGCTGTTGTTGTTGTTGTTGTAATTTTAAATGATTTTCTACTTTTATTTTCAAATTCCCCATCTGTGTAACAGAAGAGAGGACCAGACATCTACGGGCCCTACCCGGAGGACTCTTCATGTTCAGTAGTTTTGGACTAGTGTTATTAGCACAACATGTAGTATCCAGCATCAGGTGACAGAGGACCATATAGTTTAGATAGAAGTTCATTTATTTTTGTATTGAGATATTTTATGCACTAAAGTACTTACAGCCTTATATGCAGCACTTGTAAAGGCATTTATCAATATGTGTTCAGTTAGTGGTTAAACATATTTCAAATACCACACATACCCCAAGCGTCATGTTCAATGCTTGTGACCTTTTTCATTTCAAATCTCTACAAATCTTCAGATGTCTGATTATCATACTCTGACCATTTGATTAAAGTTTACATAGCCAATCAATGACGCACATACAGACACCTGGTTCTGCAAAAGGACGACTGATCCTTAAAAAAACCAATCTGACATTTGTGATTAGTACAGTAATCTTTTAACGAACACTGTTAAAGTTGAGACACAACAAGAAGACTTATAAAAATTTGAAACTGAAGAAGCTTGGCCGGATCGCCTCAGATATCAAAACTAACCATGAGTTGGTAAATAATTCAAATCTGTGAGCAAGTTAAGCTGCCAAGAGGGGGAAAAAGAAAACGGTGCCTTCGCTTTTGTTCGAGCATTACATTTAAACATCATCAGATGAACAAAGTTCAGTTGTGGTCTGGTGTGTTCCCAATGTGTTCTAATACGTGTTCTGAAATCATTCAGACCATACAGGCTAGTTTACAGTTTTAAATCTAAAAGGTAGTTAGTAATACGGAAACTGAACTGTTATGTAGAAGGTATTTCTTTGATTATTGTTAATACATCCATTGTTAGTATTATTAGTAGTGGTAATAGTAGTAATATTGCGTTAGCCGTTGTAAACATCGAACAAACGAAATAAGAACCCTACCATTCTAAAAAGAAAGAGCACTGTTCAAGTGATGGGATGAATTATTTCTGTCAGTTGGTGATGATAATAATAAGAACAAAAATTATTATATTTATTGTTGTTGTTTTGCTTAAAACCTTTGTATTCAGATTTGAATGTAGAAAAAAGATTGTTATAGTGATAGAATGCACGCAAGCAACCTTATCACCTAAAAACAGCAAGGCTAACTAGTGAATAACTGATTTTTGTTAAATGAACGCGGAAGAAAAACTCTTTCCTAATGCATTTTTGTACACAATTGCTGTCAAAACATAAGTAAAATGTCTGATTGTCTGTCGCTTCAGTGAAGTCCTCGAGTGTGAAATGTTCTCATAACTAATGATTTAATTTCATTCTCTGAGCAAAACACCCGTTTACTTTTAAAGAATTGCAAAATGGACCTTTTCCGGTTAGAAAACGCAACCATGAAATGAAGTCGACCAATGACGCTGATATTTTTTGTAAGGAACACGTCCAACTTCAGTAAACTTTAATTACAATGGTAATGTCTAGGACCCGCTGAAAGCGGGTATGAATGCACAGCTAGTAAATGTAGAATCGATTATATCTTACATGTGCATAGTTTAAATGCCATCCAAAACCTGACTGGATTTGAATTATAAAAAAAAATAGCTGGAGTAGGTTGATTTTTAATCGAAAAACCTCATTTCCCTACTTGACCTCAAGGTGGTGTCGGAAAAATGCCATGTCACCCGAACTTTGTAAACATACTCGCCTTAGCCCGTAGTTTCTGACGATGTCAAAAATTGTACGCTATTTCATCGTATCGTACCCGTGGCAAACTTAATCTAGGGTTTAGTTTCAAATAGGGGCCGCCTGGACACCGTTTCGTAACGCCGGCGTGCTAAGACCGACATTAGCGAACATGATAAATTGAGCATTCTATATTGTGACACATTATTAACATGCTGCTGTATTGATTAACGGCTTCTCGTCCAACTAAAATAATGCAACAATGTGGCAGTTGTTAAACATCCTATGTGAATCCCACGTACAAAGAATTAGAGAAACACTTTCTATGGCCTGTTCTGAGATCTTACTCTTAAAATAACTACAAAATTGGTGTTCTGTCTTCATGGTCAATCTCCCAGACTTACTCAATCGTGCTCTTTTCTTTTTTATACCCACAGGAATGAAGAAAAGAGTCAAAAAACATAACATATAATAGTGGCCGTTTGCCAAGACGATGCATGAAAATGTCAATTAATTCATTGGAAACAAATGAGTGTCATTCATTTCCGGATGTTACCGACACTTAGCTACAGATCACATATCGATGACTCTCTTACTTCAAATCAGTTTTTTGCCATTCGAAATAATTCAGTTTTGCGTGTTCACTGTTACAGTGTTGACAGCGAAAAAATCGCCCAGTTTAAAAAATAACATTTTGTCTGTGTAAATGCAGTTTCGTTGAATAAACTCCGATATACTTTCATACATGTACATGCAGGGCCTAACATAAGTCGCAGACACACCCTAGAGTGGCACACATGTGACTCTTACTCAAGTTAGTTCCAGTTGCTGTTTGCTTTTTGGGGCGTTGGCTATTGCGCGACACAAATTAAGCACGGCTGGATTGGTTCCGAAAACGAATATAATTCGTCCTTCCAATACAGACCACTGGTACCTTAGACTAACCAATGGGGAACTGCCACATGATTCGATTTGTGACACCCACTTCGCCATTGCCTTTTATGGTAAGTCATGTGCAAATGTCCCGTGTGAAAACGTATAAATACCCCTGCTTTTACGCTCGTTAGTCGTCCATCTGTCCTTTGGGAGACGTACGATCAGCCACGATCCACGTTCGTCACTGCCAAAAGATGCGTTTGTTCCTCACTTTGATACTACTGTCTTTGACGCTGTTGGCTGCAATAGGTGAGTTCTGACAAATAACTGAATAAGTGTTGTGCCGCACCCCGGGTTGTTTCACTGCAAGCTATAAGAACGCAGAGTTGCAGGCTGAAACGGTAGGAAGTATGAAGGGGCTCCATCACAGTGTAGTCCGTATTTTGCAAGTGAACGCATTTTTTGGGCTTCTTTCCACATTCTGGTTGAATGTTGAGTGCTTTTTATTGTGATTAAATGCAGACTAATTGTGGTCACATTATATGCCTCATTGATAGATTGACACTTGAATAGTCAACTGGATATTTTTTGGTTTCAGATGCCTACACCAGCCCGCGGTTCATCTTAAGACATAGGTCTAGTAGGTTGTGCTATGACTATGTAGATTGGTGGAGCTGGGGTCATCACTATGAGAAATTCCGGGCAGACAACTGCAAAAATGCAGATGAGCTTGAATGGCAGCAAGTCGAGGGACACTACGGCTATCTGAAAGTGGTTGGTTCGGGGGGCCACTGCCTGAACCCCTTCGGCGGTTGGGCCAAGCCTGGCGATAACACTGCAGTTTTCCCGCATAAGAATTGTTATTCTTCAGCTCTCTTCACAATCGATGAGGAGAACGGCTACATCAGACATGCTGGGGGAAGTTATGTCCATCCGTATCCCTTCAACACCGAAAAACCGAAATGGCAGTCGGACCTGATTATACACAAAGGTACAAACTACAACAATAAGTTTGATTTTGTGCAGAAAAATAACAATAACGCCAAGGTTACGATCGTTCCACAGCCCAAAGTTTCCGGATCTTGGAAAAAAATCACCTGCTGGGCGAACGTACACAAGGGTCAGCTCAAGTATTCCGTGAAGGTCGGCACCAGTATATCCTCCTCCTCGACCACGACGCATGCGTGGGAAGTATCGTTTTCCGCTGCCTTCTCATTCATTTCAGTCAGCGCCAAGTACAGCGGTTCGTTCTCATCCACTTACGAAGAACAATGGCACACAGAATCTACCATAGAGAGAACAATCAACATTGACCAAGATGGCGGCACCGTGTGTATCTGGCAGTGGGTCTACACATTTGAGCAATTTGAGGATACCTTCACATTCAAAGCATTCACTTTGCGCGAGACCCGCAGCGAAGCTGTTCCAACTGAAATCCCCGTGGGTAAAAAATAGGAAATAGGAGATACCTTGTTGTTGTTGGTAGAACATCAAATTCTCAGAATTTGTAGTTTCTATAGGTATTATTGTTATTGGTGGTTTTGTTAACAATAAATTCTAATAAAGCATTAAAAAAATCAGATCCACGATGCTTTGTTCTCTTTTCCTCTATTTTAACCCGCGCCCTTCTTAATTAGAGTATTTTGCTAGTGAATATATGAAAGTGAATATAGAAAGATATATGGGGGTATATTCCGACAGGACGCGTCTATTATTTAAAATTTGCCTCGCCTCTCTGTTATTCCAAAATACTGTATCCGCCAGTGTTTTCGTTGTAATAAGTAAATACCGATGAAATATGATTTTATGCTCGGACTTTATGGCGAGACGTATCACAGAGTATCTGTCTTCTTGTCAAACGCTATATTCAATCAAAAGATTGAATTTTATAGCACCATACCAAAATAAAGTTGGCGTTAATTTCAAAGAGAAATACCTAAAGGCAGTTCGGCTTGCTATAGTTAACCTTTAATATCCATCGTCTTAATAAAGTCCAATGCAAAAGTATCGTCGATTCATTAATCCTTGTTTTAACCCGTGACCGATAACCTTCAAAAGGTTCTTGAGGTATTTCGTTCCTAAGGTATTGTAACATTAATATTTAAATGATAAAACATCGGAATATATTAGGATAAGTCAACAGACTGTCACAATTGTATGTAACTTTGAAACAATCTAGTTAAATACGTACGGTCGGATTGTGAACAATGAATTTTGAGGACAAAATAAAACTGTCCGATTATTTAATAATTTTGTTATTCAAAGGATGGAAGAAATGCAAACCACGTTTTTCTCACCCAATACTCCCTGTAAATATTTTCCTTGGCCTGATGGTGGAGTGCTAGGTAGAGGATCGGTCATGACGTCTGCAGCGAATTGACGTTTACGCCACCTACTATCTGTACGTTAGACAGGTTACGATCAACCAAGAACAATGGGTAATACAAAGTCAGGATATCTTCTCATACTGGCCCACTGTGACAAAATGGATTTACTAAAACTTAAATTAAATTTAGCAAACGGTTCGAACATTTATATTAGACTCACACATTCCTTTCCATAAATCCAAGAAATTCTTGAGGGAATTATTGTCATTGGTGAAAGACCAACCTCCTTAAATGTTGGAGATTGTTTGGAGAGTTCTTGTGTCTCTATACTCTTCCGGGATATTATTGTCGCTAAGAATTGAGTTTGAATGGATGACGGAATTTGAAAAAAAGGGGCCTTGTAATTAACACAGTTTTTTTTACAGAATTATGGCGAGTGTCAGGAAAGGAGGATCCAATGTTTTAAGTTTGATTTTTTCGCGGGAAAATCTTACAAGTGTGAGAAGCAAATGTAAAATCAGTAAGTTTATTATCAGTTATTAAAAATTATTTTCATATCCAGTGCATTTAACAATGTCAAGCTGCAGTTTTAAAAAAAGTTCATTTATATTTCTGTAACACGAAACGAATTGTTTGTATATTCAAATCTCAATTAATCTCTTGTACACACGTTTTAACATATCCACAACTATGACGATTGTGAAATTTTAACTTCAAATACTTATTGAATAATTCACAAATGATAAATCACTCCTCGTTGCTAATAAAATAATGAAAAATGCATTTTTGTTTGAAAGATAGTGTAGACATTATTTATGCTGAGACGAGAGCATAATTCTATTATGCACGACACTAGAAAAAGATTTCACGTGCAACAGTTTTAAAACAAATACAATCTATATTCTACGTAAAATGAAATTATTTCGTGAAATGTGGTGAATTCTAATCCAATATCCCGAGCGACAGCTTCACAGCTCTTAGTTTCGGACGGTTATATTTTGTCGCAAAAAAGCAATCCCCATACATATACACCCTGCGCTATGGCTGAATTCTGCTTGGCTTCAATATGTATTACGTCCACGCAAGCTTTACAGGTTGCAGCAAAGAGAGCGACAGGTCGTTGATGTTCAAGGTCTGAAAAAATATTAAATTTGAATTACTACCACTAATTCAACATTTCACAAAGTTTTCTACCTTTCTTTAAGTAATTCTTCAAGAACGAATTTAATAGTTTCATCCAGTGTAACAGGAATAAAAGTCCTACGAATGGACGTGCGGGCTCCCATATGTTAAGTACATGGTTAGGGTAAGTTGGAGTATTGGGGTTAGTATATGGGACTACGGTTCCTCGCGGACTTCCATTCCTGTTACACCGGCTTACCTTAGTCAGTGTGTTATAGCTGAACTTGGCGGCCTTGCCGTTAGCCGTCACTGTAGAGGGCGCACTAGCCACCCCAAATATAGTGGCGGACCCCAGAGTCATCGTGGTTTTGTATCCCGACTTCAGAACCATAGAGTTTACACCGCCCTGGGAGAAATGGAAATAAAACGTGAGATTATCGGGTGAAGACATACTAAAATATAATACACCAGTCTGCCACTTTTAGCGCTTTTTCAGTGTAATAATAATAATAATAATAATAATAATAATAAAAATAACAACAACAATAATAATTAAGTAAAAAGATAAAATTATAGTTTTAATAAAGTTCAACTTTTATAATTCATTTTCGAAGGTATTACCTTGCCAGCCGTGAAAGTTATCAGGTTGTATTCGCCTCTACCCAATGGATCTGAAAAAAAAAAGAAAGAAAAGGTAAACCGGATTATAATATATCATGCAACCTTATGAGATTCTCGAACTATTCTCAGAAAAACATATCCCATCGCACAGACTACTTTTTACATGCTTTTGGTAAAAAGAGCATTTTTTTTTGCAACTGACAGAAACGAATATAGAGTCATTTTCTGAGAATTTAAATCTCTGCATTTCAGTAATCAACAGTCACTCTACCGCTGAAAATTTAAACAGCCAAGATTTTAGAGTTATTTGAAATCCAAATCACTCACTGACAGAGTCGCCATCATCCCAAAAGAGCATGCCTGTGGAATCTTCTTTTGGACTTAGCGCGACCAGAAGACCAAACTTGTTTCGGCGGCTACCGAGAAAACATGGTTGTTAAAATATTCTTAGAGACACAAAAAGAAAGTATAATGAATTTTATATCATTACGTTTATGAATTCTGAGTATATAAGTTTTGAAAATAAAAGCAACTGTAAGCTTAATATATCCCTATATACATGTAAAATGTCTGTATAATAATGATGCTATCCGCACACATACCTTAGCGTCGTGGTAACGTCTGGTTCCTGCGTGGGGATAATACTGCCTCCTCTCACGTGCAGGTTTATCTTGTCCAGGGGGGCATCCAGCGCCACCTGGCCACCGTTACTTGTCAATAGTGAACCGTTAAAGAAGTCATACCACACGTCGTTAGGCAGGTAGGCTTGGACAGATCTGGCTTGGTCCACCTATTTGAAACGGAGATGTATGAGGCATTCTTTACGATTTTAACTCTGGTTTTAAATCCAAAAATGTATCTTGAAACTGAACATTTCACTGTCACAACACGCGGAGCCAAGGGCCGCCAAATACACAGTTTCACTGAACCTAATTTGGGCGTCTTGGTTCAGGACACGGGTCTATTTCTTGCGGCCTATTTCTTGCGCTTCACGGTAAATAACATTGCAATTATTCTAGGTCTACTTACGTTGGCTAAAACGGGTGAAATGAGTAAGGAATCGCCCCACATAAACTGCTGGTCAATGCCATACGTCGCAGGGTCGGTGGGATATCTAAAACAATACCAAAGTCTGATAAAAACGATGAACTTAAATTTATACATATTGTGCGATATTGTGCTGTTTTTGTGTTAACAGGACTTGTGTTGCTTATTAAAAAAATTTCATTTCAGAGGAAAAGTAGACCTGGTGTCTATTCGTGAAAAATCAAACGATTTCCGCTGATTGTTTTGCCAGTTACACTCTTCAAGGTATTAATAAAAAGAATTGAAAAATGTATGAATATTGGCAACATTCATGTACCAGATAATATTCAATAAATTTTACGTCTAACTGCTTTTTACTCATTCTTTATAAACAGATTGTCATCACTGCAAAACCGTTTTAACTAAATCACTAACGGAGTTATATAAACTCACTTGAAGAAAAGCGGACGTGCTACCCCAGTGCCGTTGACACTAGCCTGAAAGAACAACGTGTACAGGAATGGCAACAGGCGATACCGGACCAGCAACACGTTCCTGATCGCATCCTGGGCGGCTTTGCCGAAGTCTGGGTTGGCTGGATCTTGATCCTTAAAGGTAGGCAAATTGCTTTCATTTATATTCTTCATTCCTTTTTTGCAATGAAATATGTTTTATAATGTTGCCCAAAAGGCTCTTGTCGGTCGGACATAAACTAATCCTTGCCTTTGAGGTACTATTCGAAGTTTAATTCACTATGTTGTGGCCGACTTGTGATTTTTTATATGCTTTAACGAAATATTAAAAAGCTTTATTAAGACGTGGTCAATATCGAGAGAGCATGCTTATATAGGAAGATAAACGTCACCTTAGCTCCTTTGGTATTGTGATTCCTCATGAAGGGGTAGAAGGCACCTGCCTGCATCCATCTGGTACACAAGTTGGTGTTGGTGTCCCCTTGAAAACCGCAGATATCTGCACCAACCAGTGGAATGCCGAAGAAGTTGAAATTAAGTACACCTGAAATATCCACGAAATATCTGTGCGAAGCGCCATATTCAAAGAAGTGTCTGTGGGTGTCGGGAGTTGGGTGGGGCAAATACTTATAGTGTGCCTAGGCACCTTTTGCACATTGGTCGGATATATAAGGGTTGTTTATGTGTGCAATCAGCATCTGATCTTCTCCAAATATGATATACCCACCACTAGAACGCCCCCAGGATATAACCATACCACGTGTTCTACGTCTAGCTACACCGTAGCTGCTCTAACACTAACGTTCATAACTATATGTATTCAGTTTTTAATGAGCATTTTTCGTCGACGATTGTCCTGCTTTACCTTGCTGACCACTTACCAGGAATGGAAGACTGCAGATCATGTTCCTGGGCGTTGTTATCCCCCAACCAGTGCCCCACGTACACGCCGGAACTGGGGAATGTCGACCGGGAGATGATAAGGCCACGTTTACCCGTGATTGTGACCACCGCTCTGTAAGGAGGACACGTTACATTGAAACTCCTTCTTTGCTTAAGTTTTTCTTATTTTTTTTTAAATTAAAGACATTTACATTTGCTAAGCTGGGGTACACAGGTGTATTCTTCGCATCTCGCTCACTAGTCTAAATACGAGTAAGTTAAGGTCAGATGAAAAGCTTCGTGCCATACAACTCGCGATCGTTAATCACTGAAATGCATATACGTAAAAAAAATTGCATGTTCAGATATACATGTAGGCCCAAGGCGTTTTTTTTTTCTCCAGGAATCATTCTCAAGGGAGATCTTTGGTTTTTAAAAGCTGGGAAGGCTTTCCTGGAACCGTTGCAATTTCTCATCAAGACATTACTAGAATCGTTTAAAAAAGAACCTACTTCTTGGAAGCAATCCCTTCCGTGTGGCCGTATAAGCTATGCAAGTCGTAGTGTCTGCCTGCTTTTTGAACTGCAGAACCACAGATCGTCTTGTCAGAGGGGGAGCCACCAGCAACCGCTGTAAATACGAGGGTTGAAATGTTTTCCATATTCTGTACACGCCATCCCTTAAATACAACACTTATAGTTTGGAAATGAATAAGGAAAACTCACTGAGACATCAATTTTACCGCAATTTTTCTTTCTTATTATTTTGCAATAAAAAGTAATGCTAAATCTCATAATAATTAAACAACAAAAAAAGCGAATTTCAAACAGTTTCTAGTTCAAAGTATCTCAGTTATGAAATTATAATTTATTCCGAGTAGTTTAATGCAGGTGATGTAATTCATGGTAGTGTACCTGGCGGGAAGTAAGGAGGGTTGTCCCATTTGGATTTAGGACAACCGTTGATGGATCCCTTGACGAAATTGGAAGGCTCGTTCATGTCCTGTGAATAGTGAAATTCATGATTTAGAAACAGTTTAAAAACTGTGTTTGAAATAAGGTCATGTTGACCAGTTCGCGAGAATTCTAATTACAGGGCTGCTTACAAATTGGTAGAGATATAATTAAGCTACCTGACCAGTCGAGATGGTGGTTTCAATGTGTGGTTTCACATTAGGTATGACACTGTTGTAAATCCATATGAGTTCCATAATTAAAATAAACATGGGTGTAAGATGTTTTGTCCGTTTTAAAATTGAAACTAAGAATGAATGGTATACTGTGACAGAGAGTGCCCCATTATAGAGAACCTGCTTTCCATTCTTTGTGCTGGCAAGCCTCGCCCTAGGATTTGACCCATTTAGGTCAGACCAAACCCGTAGCCAGCAATTTCAAATGGGGGGTTCATTTTCTGAAAAAGTGGACCTTTTACCATAAAACCTTCTTGTACCTAGATCAAATTTTATCCAGAGTGGACCTTTTCCCAGCAAAAAGGGCGGTTCTTTCGAACCCCCCCCCGATCCCCCCCTGGCTACGGGCCTGTCAGACTAACCCTAACCATTATAACTATATGGAGGGTGGACTTTCTGTTACACGGACCCTCAGTTTCGTTACACCGTACAAGTCTATCGTTATTAAGTCGATGCAGTTATCATGTAAGGCGACAGAGGGGGCCTAAAAACAAAAAATTTATGTCATAAGGAATACAAAATTTTGTCACTTACACACCATATCCCGTCAAATGGGACCTGGTCGTGGTAACCCTTGGCTTCTCTAACCCAGTAGTCCACGGCGGCTGGATTGGTGAAGTCTGGATATGCTGTGGTGCCAGGCCATACCTGGGAGTAAAACACAACCTTATATACATATACATGTGATTGTGTAGATTTTATACCGGCAAAACCTTTGCAATATAAAGACTGGAGCTCTCTGGTCAAACACAATGCATATTTTTGCCCGAACTTTGCAATACAAGCCTACTCTGAAAAAAGAGTAGGTTTTTACAAAGTAGGCATGGTACAAGTCTTCTCTGAAAAAAAAAAAACATCACAATAATATTTCGTAATGCATCTTCCCAAATTCTGATGTGTAAATGTTTATTATATTTCGCTATATTCTATGTAATTATTATTGTCAATGCTTTGCAATATCGACATCAATGCCTATATAAGCCCACCTTGCCAATGATGGGAGCTGTTCCGTTGGCATCCATAATGAAAACTCCCGCCTTCACGCCGCTGTCGTACGGTTCATATCCTTTTTGATTACTAATACCGGGGTCCTATGGAAAGTAAGCGGCATGTTCTTATATTATGGCAGTATTCTGTCTTTGAGAAGTAAAATGTTAAATGCAATCAAAGTGAATCTTATCGAGAAAGTCATGAAAAGTGTCAAAAACGAATTGCCATTCGCTCTTTGTTGGTACAAAGTAAGTGTACGTACTACGATCATGACGTAATGTTGGCCGTTTTGGTGTAAATCCTTGACCACGTCCGGCAGTCCAGCGAAGTTCTTCTTGTCGTAACTCCAGTCCTCGTGAATGTCCATGTAGTCGATGTCGTTCCACTGGGTGTCCTGAAATCAAGAATATTTTTTTACCAGCCCATTCGTTTTAATCGTCAATAAGGTGTGTCAAAACAAACTCAAAGAAACCAAATTCAATGTAATGCTTTACCACTGAGGTATTCAAAAATCTAGCAAGCGCCCTTTGCCTACAATAATATGAACACTCTCCATTACGAAATGGTAAGTTCACCTCATAACTCAAATTGTCGTATACTCGAACAAAGTCTATGGGGTGAATTGTTTTCTGGTTTTTTACTGAAATTATATTTACATTGCCAAACTCACGAAATTCGAATACATGTTCCGTTTAAAAGAATCCAAATGATTCATATCAAATACTTTTATGAGAACTATCTTTTGATAGTATGCTTTGGCACTGGTTACCTTTACTAATGAAAATACTTAGGAAATACAAAGTTCAATATATTCATTTCACAGATAAGATTACATGATGTTATAAATTAAAAGATTATCTAAAAAAAGACCTTTAAGTCGTAATATTTAAAAAGATAACGATATAAAGTACGTGCAATTGTTTTGTAGAACAATATACCCTCCTATTTTTGATACTTTCTTTACTTGATTTCGCGTGTAATTACAAAATAATGAAAAGGTTTTCTCTACAAATAATTCACTTACATAAGGCATCTTTGCAGCACGCATGCGCTGGATCACTTTCCTCATACCATCTGTTCCGCCATATCCCCAACGACATAGATGAAACCCGAGACTCCAATATGGGGGCAAAGTGGGCCGACCAATCACAGCCGTGTATTGAGCAATGACGTCATTAGGGGTGGGGCCGGTGAACACGTAAAAATCCAGAATACCACCGACTGTGGTATATGTCAATGTTGGTGGAGAACCGGGAGTCATGTCAACCTCTACAATTAAGTATTAACAATAGGTTTATCAGACTGAAAGTAGCTTGGTTATCCAATTTAAGTAAACATTTAAATGAGTATACTTTGTCCAGTTGCTGAATGTTTTGTTTTGTTTGATAATGCCAAAGTGCATTTTGATTAACAACATAACATTTTTATTAAAGGAAAGAAGCCAACATAACTGACAAGCACTGAGTCTTTTTCCCATGGCTTCATTTATTTCATAACATATCATTGATATCAAATTCACGTAAAATATTTCATTTTTATATAAAGGTCTTTGACTCGACTTACGCATGGCGTTGCTGTTGAGCAGAAAGACACCGAATGCGCTGCCATCATTCTCCAGACCAATATATAGTGTGTGAACTCCATATAAGTTTATACGTTCCTAGGGAAATGAACAAAAACTGCAATGTTGCAATGCAACGTTTCTATATATAAGAGCAAACTTATGTTACATAAAATAATCCTTCATTATGCCGACCCTGAGATCCTACTTATTTCATTTTACATGCTCGTCACGTCGAGTTTTAATTATTAACAGTTTGCCACTAAACTTAATGTGCCTTTTATATGTTGTATGGCGTTTTAATTGGTACTGCGTAAGTAAATGAGTGTATGAGTGTTTAAGTGCAATGTGTCTATGTTCAATAAAGAATTGGAAAAACAGTTTGAAATACAGATAAAAAAATAAAGAAAGAAAGGAAAAAAGAAAAAGTATTCCCTTAGCAGTTGTCTAGAAGACGACTTACAGAAGGTGGCTGGTCCCTGGCGTAGAAGCCAAATGTGTGAGGCTTCGTGGCATCGTGCAGCAGACTGTCCCTGTGCTCTCCTAGGCCGTAGATATACTGTGTAGGAAGGGAGGTGGAAATTTGGAGAAATTGGTCGGCAAATGTCAGCAAGCCGTGTGAAGAGTCAAACCTGGTAAGGAATTTCAGTACGAAATTTAGGAAAAAAAGAATTCAATATAAAAATGTACATGATTAATTCTATATTCTGTCCACTGTCCACTCGCTCTCAAGTCATGTAATTATGAATGACAATAATGACTAGATAATTATGAAAATTATAATTGACGGAATTTTTTCGGAATTGTGCTGAATTACCTTTCGAAATTTAATTTAATGGACAGTCGTCTGATGACGTTTTATTTGAAAAAAGTTGCAGCAATTTCGAACACTCACAATCATTATAAAAAGTAAAACATTATGTATACGGAGAAGATTCGGCATCATTAATCTAAGAACTAGGACTCTCTCAAAATCAAGACTTACATCATCGTTCCCGTGCTCTTCCTCTTCACCATAATAGCAAACGGATTCTTATTAAATGTGACGTCATAGTCCAAGGTTGAGGCCCTTTTGGGTTCGGGAGGGGTTTGAATGGGAACTTCATAACGCTCATTTTTGGGATCATATATCTAGAATTTAAAAAGGGCAAAAATCGATAGTAACGACATATTTCTCTCTCTCTCTTTTTTTTTTTTTTTTTTTGGGGGGGGGGGGGGTAGGGGGCATAAGCAGGTGTAAAGCATTGAAGAATTCTACAGTATATACTTAATAAATAGTATTTTATCTCTGCTATTTTTGAAATATTTGGGCTATTCATGTTAAGGCAGATTGTTTTTGAAAAGTAGGAAATAAAGGAACCAATCTCTCGGCTAATTAGACCACTGATATAGTCACTGTAACACACTTTTCATCTTTAGTCATTAACTGTCTATCTCTCCAGCTTGACTTTCTCGAAAGCAATTCCCTTTAAGTTCGATCCTCGGGTCAATCAAAACGAGTCTGATAGGCGGATATAACATTGGGTGTATCTTTCTCGTGACGTCTACCTCGTGTTTATCCAGACAGCCCTCACGGATAATTAAATTTTATCTTTACCGGGGAAAGGATGGTACGGCATCAAGAAACATATCTAGACATTGTGTAGTTGTGTAAAGATAGAAGGAAAGTGGTCAGTGATGTTGTCCAACATTATCGACTTGAGATACGAGATATCTACCTCTGTTTGATAAATCGGCTTTAATACTTTCCAATGGAATTATTTCAAAACTAAAAGCACTCGTATTTTAATCGCGGAAAACGTTGTTTCTTTTTTAGAATTTTTAAATATTCCGGTTCCAAGCCGAACCCTGACAATACAACATCTGGCTTCTGCTGGCATTTTTCTCATATGACAGTGAAGAAAGAAAATGGTTCTACACAGTTAAGTGCCGTCTACCAGGGCAACATATTGATTTTTCACCCGATATTGACAGATATATCTATGGTTAATTCTTAAAATATTTTCTGCTGCAAGCTAGCAAGAATTTTTTTCATGTAATAATTGCCATCACCTAGCTGTCCTATAATATTGCGACTAATCAACGGGTCATTTATTGACCAAAACCCCTGCATCCCGCTGTATTCTGCCCGGGCTTTATAAATATCCCCAAATGTCAGCTACTGGTGGAATAAGAAGATGGCGCCTGTCTGTGATAGAAAGTAAATGTGACGACAGAGAACAGCATCATATGACTTGTGTTATCATTGGGTAGATAACTTCGGTGTTTGTTCTCACTTTATCTACATTGAACCCCTCTCCACCCGTCTATTTGTCTATTTGTTTTTATACATTGTACCTACCATTGTCCCTCGCCCCCCCCCCTCTCTCTTTTAAAAAAGAAAAAAAAGTGGGATTTTATAACATTTTTCTAATAAAAATTACAATAGACTAACCTTAAAGTGCAACCTGTTCTGCGTAGCCAAATAAACGTCCAGTTTGAGACTGAGGATGTCGTTAGGCCAGCGTTGGGATTTCTTCTGTTTTGTGAGACTTGCCGAGAAGCCGAAAGGGGTTTTGACGACAGGGCCCATGGAATAGGTGGCGTTATTGTCGGCTTTGTAAAAACACCACGGCGCGTTTCCTACATTTTATAGATGAATGTGTATCATAAATAGATTAGATATTATATAAGGAGCTAGGGGTACGTTGTCAAAAAAAAAAAAAAAAAAAAAAAAAAAAAAGGTTTATCAGTCAAGAGACAAGCAATTAGAGTATCAAACATTTATTGAACGTACTCTACTCTTGTTACTATTCTAGTACTGAGGGATTTTTTTAATATCACAATTTCTTATTCAGTGAAGTTAAACACGTATGAAAATAAGAGATTTGAAACAAGAAAAAATCACCACAAATCCAGCCACTTATTTAAGAAGTTTACCGCCTCTACTACCAGAAGCATTAATTAATTAATTAATTAATTTGATTTGCCATTACAGGGAACTTCAGTTATATATCTCTTTTTTTTCTCAAAGAACGATTAAAAATAAAAAAAAAAAAAAATACCTGGATTTGGGTTCACGGGCACCCAGCAGCACCCCCGGGCCTCACATGCCTGCTGCGAGGCCCCTCCCCCTGGGTAACAATCTATCTTACTGGGGTTTGGCACGGAGCATCCCGGGGGCAGGTCGTTTTCTACAGAGCGCACAGCATTCGACTCTATCCTGGCAAAAGTTAGGGGATCTTTGGTTTTTCGTTGAGCTTGGAAGTCTATTTTTTGTGCCCTCCTCTCCGCAGGTTCGGCTATAAATTGATTGAGCTGTGGAACGATTCTACTTAAGCCGTTATCGATAGGTTTATGTTGAGTGGAAATGAGTCCAACGTCGTTCCCATGTTGCGTGTCCGCTTTTTCACTATAGCTGAAAAACTGCAGGATCACCTGTCTGTAGCCCTCATATCGATCAGGGATGGATTGGTCCGACCCGAGATCTTTTCTGCTGGAGTCCTGTTGATCGTGGCGAAGTCGTAAGCAGCCGTTTGCCAACACCACCGTCGCCAAGAGGAACAGGGTGACACTCATTGCTACCAGCAAGTACCGGGCAGGCCTCCGCGGACGATGTTTTTCCTGTGCTATGCGGGCGCTCGGGTCATCTAAATATAGCGCTTTCTTTTCCATCACCTTCAGTGTTATTTACGAGCTGTGGAGATTGCAACTGGGTCTTATAGCATTCACTTCCGTGTTGCGGTGCGATGGACGTTTCGAATGAGTAATTGTTCCTGTATTTATAAGCTTCTTATATCTACTGTAGGACGATCATCTTGTCTTATCTAACACACTGAATTGAAGATAGAGCCACTGATAGGTTTAAAAAGATACGGTAGAGATACTAGAGTGTTGATATATCCCACCAACAATGTGACTAGGGGAAAGTTCGACTGTTATTAGAGGCACGTATCAGTGAAGTTATGTATAACCCTGTGGTTGGTATCGCACCTCGTGATGCTCGTGACGTTGAGTAATGTGTTTATACGTGCTAAAAGAGGTCAGCTAACGTTTACTTTGTTAGTTGTAGTTAAAAAGGACAAATGCGATGCTCCCTCTTCATCACAAAACTACAGCTTTGTCGATAGCAATATATGTTACTGATTTGATAAAGCCTTTTGGTAGTTGTTATAAACCACCTGAAAGTTTCCTTCATCTTTCCTGAGCTATCGCCTCGACTCTTGGTTTATGCAAGGACTAAATAATTTTGACGATGGTTTATGCTAAAGAAATATTGAAATACGAGCACCATTTTAGCTATATGTACGACACTAAAATGGTAGTGATACTTAAAGAATTTTAACGAGCACCTGTGTTTATTGCTGATTCAAAAATATGAAGAACACGTGCATGAGCTCCTTATCTCCAAATTTTCATTTTTCTTCTTATTAGATTGAAAATTTCTGTATCAAATTATTTTGTCAATAACTTGTTTTGTCATATTTTATTCTAACAGTTGTACACAAGCAACTTGAATGCCAGGCGCAACTAATATAATGCTAATAAATTTATACATGAAGGTAATCTTAAAGAAAGAAATATATCAATTAAAATGCACAGAAAAAAATAAATTGCCAGAAGTTTGGGTTGTTCGGTGAGAATCATTCAGAGGGTTAGACAACACAATAAATATGAGCAAGACTGGGTAAGGCCAATAGGACACCTCATCCAGAGAAGAGAGACTGTTTACACGCCTTCCTCGTTGAAAACGTTTCAAGGCATTAAGGAAATTGAGTGCAATATTGAACCAAAATAAGGCAAACCATGTTTGTGAGTTTACCTTTATAATACGTCTGCACCATCGCCTTTATTTTGGCAGGGTTGCTGTTAAGAGGACATTGACCACCGCCAGGAACCGTCTACGTAGAGTCATACGGTGTACCAAAATTCTGGCATGGACACCATGCAGCCAATAACTGGGCTATGGTAATGTTCACAGATTTATGCAGGTACAGCGTTGTCAGAAGTGATGGACTCGTAAGAAATGAAGAACAGCTGGTTAGAGTCATCTTACCAACTGTCTGCTTCTGGTCGACAGGACGCAAACACATATCAATCATGATATGGGGATGATGGTGGTGAACGTTAAACTTAACGCAGAACAATGCATCCAAGTACTTGAAATGAACTGAAGAAATGCTGTAGACAACATCTTTGGGGACTTTGACCGATAATGGTTCTCCACTTAAGCCAATGCAACATTAGGCTGGTTATATGTGAACTAGATACAGACCCCCAGTGACTAGCTAGCGCAATCCTTAGAACAGAATCGTATTGAGGATGTGTGTGTTATACTCTGAAGAAGATATCTGCAGGATAAACCTGCAAAAAATGATATCATACTATCTTTGCGCCGTGCATGTATGTGCAGCGCCATCACCCTGCAAACGTTACAAAAGTTTACGATCGCAAGCACAGACACGTCAGATGCGTCCTCCAACCCAGTAGATATTGTACAAAATACTAAAATATGTCTTTGATTTTTTACCATGGGTAGCTTATTTATTGGGTCTACGATCAATGCAATGTTGTAAAAAAATCTCCCTAGAAGAAAAATAAAAGAGAGCATTGGTTTATGACTTGATTTTCTACTTCATTTATGGGTGTCACTTTTTTGGTATATACACGCCCCTTAGCGCATGCGTAAATTTGCATGCCATGTGTTATATAAATATACCCGTTTCTGTCTTACAGTAGTTACAAAGAAAAAAAATGGCGTTCATATTTAAAGTGTTTTTTGTATCGACTTTAATAGTAATTGCTACTGCACTAAGTATCCTGCTGGTAGCAAATCAATCCACTTGTTTGACGGAAAGGCCACAACCTGCTATGAAACCAGTGAAATTGGAAGAATTAGAAAAGTAAGTGGGTTTTCATTATAAATGTTTCTCATTTTGTTTTGAAAATCAATCAGCTGAACTGTGTTACAATACATCATGAAATATATGCTTTAATGAAAAGGGTACACTGAATTGGGTAAGCATAAGCGTACTAGTATATAGTGCATTGTACTTGCATTGATCTTTATATTATAAGAGACGCTCAAGGTTAAGGCTCATTCCATAATTATACCTGAAAATTGCTGGGTAAATAGTCAATATATCTCCGTGATATCATAATGCGGGCAGTGACACCCACTTATCGACTTAATGAATATCTGTTGTCCATTTGAAATATCTCATTGTTTGGTGCAGAACAGTTTTGAGATATTTCAAAATTGAAATTCATGACATTTAGACTGTCTTATTTAGTCACCTTAACACAACATAAACCAATGAATATACAGCATGTTTATATCAATAACGATTCTAAAAGTCATGCATTTTTCAACGATTTTTCATTAATATTTCATACGTTGGGAAACTTAAGATGAGGGAATTCGAGTGTATTTATACTGCACATAAAGAATATGACAGTAAAAGTAATAAAAAATGAAAAACAGCTTAACAGGAATTTGAATTGAAAATCCCACAATCTTCTTTTAAGAAGTATTAAAATACCCGGTATATCAATTGTGGAAATGGTCGTAGCCGGATGAACATAGACAAAAACAGGATCACCTGACGTCATCGTAGAATTTTGATTTCCATTAAAAGCAATCTGATTGCCAGTTAACGACAGTTTGTCTTAAGTATATATACAAGGTCCATGCGCGTGACGTCATGAGCATTAATTTGATTGGCTGACCGGTGTGACAGGAATGGTAGTTCTATAGGAATGGAAGTCCGGGGTCCCACGTGATAAGTACAGGTTAGGTTAGTATTGGGGTTGGTATTTCAGAAGAATGTCACCTGTACAAAGTAAAAGGGAGCGGTGTACAACATGTGTATTCCTAGTGGACTACGATTTGGGGGTAAAAATTGAAAAATCGGTTTCTCAAATTTCTCCTTTACCTGAGCACCCATGAACACCGTTTTATCGCATATTTAATGACACCAATAAGTATTCCAAATCCTGCCAGCGATATTTCTTAAAAGCCTTAGTTCAAATTTTATCTGCCTTTGTTTAATGTAAATCTCTAATTAGGGGCTCATGACTCCATAGCAAAAGCATTCAAACCAAATGACGGCACTAGATCGTAGCCCATACACTCGGGGTCAACTGTGCCAATTTTTGTGATAAAATCTTGCTCTGGGTTGATACCGTTTGCTATCCTACCCCAAAATTGGCGATTAAAGCTTTGCGTTGTCTATGCTTATACATTGCAACGAGAAATATTATCGCCGATCTTTTACATATTCAAGGGGTTTTTTTATCGTTTTAAAGCAGCACAAAGATAGCTGCATTATTGAATACTTAGATGCAGAAATACCTTAATTTCGGTATCTCAAGGATAAAAATGGCTTACAATACCCTTAAAATGGGGAAATTACTAGTTAAAAACACTCAATCCCTCCTTTTCTTTGCAACAGTGCATGAACGGCACTGTATTCCATGTTCATGTCGCCGGCTGCTGCCAAGTCAGTCTGAAGTGATGCACGCATGAGGACCTTACACTCAGAATAACGAAGTCCCTTTGCATGATCATGAGACCATTTTGAAACTATTAAAATGGGGCATAAGTCTGAAAATACTACATGTATTCTTTTTTCTCCCTAGTGGTCCTGATGCTGTCATGCACGACCTGAGAACATTACTGACAATATGGCCTGCGCAGAAAAATGGCCGCTCAACTACGACGTGTGATCCTCATAGTCACATCCTCTTCCTTAAAACTCCGAAAACGGGGTCCACGACAATGTCCACAATCTTTCTCAGGTACGCATTTCGTAAACAACTTCGAGTTGCGTTGCCCACGCCTGGAGAATTTGCATTTGGCAAAACAAACCAAGGACAGCATGTTTTAAAAACCGGTTTCGATCGTGAGAAGAAGTTTGACATCATGAGCCACCATGGATATTTTAATAAACGAGTCGCACAAAAACTTTTGCCAAATGACACGATTTACATGGTGATGCTAAGGGAACCACTCAGTCAATTTAAATCTCAATATAACTTTATGCAGCTTGGAAAAAAGTATGGGCTTCGAGGTCAGGATCAGTTGAAAAAGTTTCTTAGCTCACCAACGATATCCGGAAGTGGCAGTGTATTTTCCAACGTTCTGACAAAATATTTTGGATTTACGATACAATCAAACGACAACACACCCGAATCAACCATGAAAATGATAAACCAAATAGACAATGACTTGGACTATGTCTTGTTAATGGAATACTTTGATGAAGGTCTTGTGATGATAAAACGTAAGTTCTGCTGGGATATTGCGGATATCATATATCTAAAAATTCATGATGACAAATCTGCGGAGTATACGAAGTACATAAAAAACAACAACGACCCATTGGTAGGTAAACTCCATCGCAAACTTAGCTATTCAGACTACATGTTGTATGATTACTTCAAGAAAAAATTCGAAAATTTGCTGAAAGACCAAGACCCAGGATTCTCCGCAGAGGTGAATTTTTTAAAGCTAGTAATCAAAAAGGTTGAAGGGTTTTGTGACAAACAGTCACGTGATGCGCCTACGTCACTGGATATCCCAGCGTGCAAGTGGACACGTGGTTTTACCCTCCAGAGGGGCTACTGTGATCTGATGAGGTTAACAGGAGGGCAACTTTCGGTTCTGTTGAAGAGCGAATACTACAAATCAGTATTTTTACACTCAATTTTACGTCTGCCGTCACCAGCCATCCACTCATAATGTGCCGTCACATCGATATGTGCTACTCCTATGCAGATAGCATCATCTGTGGATGCAAAATGTTAAAATATGTGCCTTATTGTTCTAGGAAGGACGTTAGTTCCTACAATTATTTACCAGATGGAAAATATATGCATACAAAACAATAACTTTTTGAAATGCAAGCAATGTTTGACTGGGCTATTTCATTTTACTTTAGGTTCTATATTAGCATTTTTATTGAGAAAACCCAGTAAATGGTAAAGTTTGAATAATTACTAGTAATTTAGTGTATAATGTTGTGATATGTCGTTTTTTTACAGATTAAGCTTAATCAATTTTTGGAGGGGACGCACTCTTTTAATATTATTTATTTGGATAATTTTAAGGGATTTAGGTCTTAACTTTCTCTTTGATTCCTAAACAAATATACCAGACATTTAACTCTCTCGAAAATGTGTTTTATCTTGCTGGTTTTAGACATGTGTTTTTTCATTCTTCCATGGGGACCACTCGGTGCACATTGACTTCACCCACCATATTTGGTATGGCACCACCCTTCTTAAACACGTGTCGCCATGTATGTCGCGTCAGTGTTTGCGTTTTGGACGTTTTCCACGTCGTTGATCTGACACGGGAATACACTGCTGGACCGTGTAGTCCAAAGTAAAGTTTCATCAACACAGGAATGCAATATAGCACTATTCACTGGTAAATTGGTATCCTCTGAATTTGACCTTTGACCTACTTTTCGCCATAAACTAAACTTTGCAAATAATATCTCCAGAACTGGCTGAGATACACCCACAGTTACTATCGAACTTGAATAGGAAGTCATAAATTGGGAATCTTAATGAAACCTTGAAATTGACTTTTAACCTTTTTTCACCATGAAATTATATTAAGTCTGTAAATTACCTGGCCCTTATATCTTGAAAACTTGCAGAGATACACCCATATCGTTGCTATTGAACGGAAATCATATATTTGGCATCTTAATGTGACTTTGCAATTTGACATTTGACCTACTTTTCCACATAAAATGATAAACCCATAAGTACCATTTAACTTGAATGAAGTTAATCTCGTTAAAATTTTGTGTTGATTTTGGTACGGAAAATCGTATTTGGTTTCATCGCTTGGAGCCCATGGCAAATGTAATTTAGGCTTAACCAACACCTGTACTAGTCATGTAGGATCCCGGTCTTCCACTCCTGGGATTGCCATTCTTGTCACACTGGCGCTGTGAGTCAAACCCATTTACACCACTGACCAAAAAGTTTGTCACAGCTCCAATCCAATGTGTTTTTGTTTAAATTTCATCGCGTCGCAGCTGTAAACCGTCTTGTAAAGATGCTTTTTTATTCCAGACTCCATATCTAAGACTACTGCTATCTAAGACGACTAATGGCAGAGAAAAACACGATACCAATGTAGATATCTGTATAAGTTTATCATTTATTCAAATGTAGAATATACATCCCCTCAAATTTTATGTCCTATAGTGATTTTTATAGAAGCAAGCAATTGGCATCAAAATGTGCCCTTGAAAATTCACATGTCAATTATCTCCCATGATAATCTCTTGTAAATAAAAGTTATCTCATTGTAGACAAAGGTTGCAATGTCCCAGTTTCGATCCTTGGGGTTATTTCTCGTCTTATATATCCTTGAGATGTACGCTTAGCCAAACCCTTAAAACCCAAACCCAAACTTAAGCCTCAGACTTCACCCCCCCTTTAACAACGAATAGAAAACTGTTTTTATGGATTCAACACCGTGTGTAATACTCAGATTTAAGAGTGTTTCTTTCTTCTGGACCGCAATTCAGCGAGGACTTACCTCGAACTGAATGACATTTCCACAGCACCTTATGTGTCCCTCGAAACACAGACAATTCCTGCTTGAAATCCTTTCCTTGAGACTTGATGGTGTTTTGAAGTTTCGTAGCAAAATGCTCATACAGTCTATAATCAGCCTTGCTCCATTTTTTGTGCAGTTCGACCAAGTCACTATCGAAGAGGTTTTTATAATTGTACTTGCGTTTATTTGTGGTTGTGTACAAAATGTCTTCCATTTCCCAACAAAGCATACGACGCAGCAGAACTAAGCTTTCGTCTAACATTCCGATGACGATCACAAAATCAAATGTCTTGTCTAAAAAATCAATATATTCTGAGATAAAGGTGTCGTTATTTCTCAAATCTTCCCTGTCGTCAGGGAACCCAAACTCGAAAATCATACCGTTTCTTACGAAACTCCGATAATTCCTTTTCGGTATGTTTGTCCAATATTTGTTTGGTTGCCGTAAAAACGCCGCCACTGGGTCGTTGTCTTGCATATGTAATCTTTGAGCTATTTTGTAATAATGGAAAGCACTCTTAAAGTGTGAGAAAGGTTCTCGAACCAGTCCCAAATAAAAAGTATGGTTTGGCATCATAGATCGTACTACATCATAATCGAAGATCATGTGATTCAGAATTACCTCGTATGTGATGCCACTGTGATAATCTGCATCTTGGCGAGTTATTTTTCTTGGGTTCATATTTGTTGGAGACTCCCACTCGTAGAAAAAGCCACCGTGCTTGGGATAAAGTTGCCTTAGCTTGTATTTATCTTTCGCTCGTTGAAGGACGCGTCTGAGAGTTTCAGAGCCGCACTTGTGAACCTTGAGGAACACGATGGATCTGTGTGGTTTGCACGCGCCAGATTGAGGCACACATGGTACAGCTGGAACCCGATATGAGGTATTCCTGGGTCGCGTCTGAATTTCGGCCATTTCATACAACTCGTTGCGACGTTGATCCCTACCTAGAGTTACCGACCTGTTTGTGATGTCTTTACGACCTGTCATGGAATTTTCAAAAACTTTGTCGTTTTTCCTTGTGAGCAAATGATCACTGCCGTTTTCCCAGATTGAAGCATTGTTGTTTTCCTCGGAAATGTTTACATTCAACTGCCCAAAAGCGTCGTCGTTGCCTTTGTCGTTTTTCTTGCGGTCTACCTTTTCAACACTGTTCATGTCAATATGAGATGGAATGTCCTTGGGCTGGTCTTCGTCCTCAGTGTTCTCCTTTGGTGCATTAAATAAACTGCTTCTTGCTTCTGTGTGGTCATGATTCTTTGTGAGGTCCCCGATGGTTCGAGGATTTTTCTGTTCATTCACCCTTGCCTCCACTGTAACTGAGTCAAATTCCTGAGGCGTCACGCTGAATGCATCATTTTCCTGTAGCGCCAACAAACGTTCTTCCTCTGTGAGCTTATCTGCAAATGAAATTATAATGATAAACAAAACCTGTTATGAACTAGCCAAGATAATAAGTGAAATAATTGAAAACAATGCATTTCATTTAGAATTAGAATCGTATATGTACCACATTCTAAATCCCCGAAGATGGGCTTTACCTTCTAGCAAGGCTTAATTAGAACGGGGCTCTTGATTGAGAAAATCCGACAGAGATGCAAAAAGCCACTCCTGCCACCCCTCTATGGGAGAATTTTTCACATGCGTCATATTAGGTTAATTAGGACTAACTTCATTTCCCTCTCCATGGCCATATCGCGCACGTCCAAGACATATTGTCACTGGTGATATCCGCTTACCTGCCCAACCCCAAAATAGGCGGTTGAACAATAAAAAAGATCCCGAAAATATACAGAGAATCTCGCCATATATCTAACGTCTATCACAAAGGCATTGATAAGCTAGAAAATGAAATCTTTACAATCTGAACTAGCATATGTGCCTTTCAAACAGGACATATTACAATATTTCATGTCACACAGTATTCAGCGTTGAAAATTAAGTGTATTACTAGCAGCATCATGTGTGGAAACGTTTTCATTAGGCCCTAAAGATTACATTAGCACATGCCAGTATCGTAATTTATTGTTATCGTAGCTTTTTTTAAGATGTGGTAGAACCATCATAATAAAGATCATCAGTGATTCTAAATATATAGGTCCATTTGAATAAAACATAAAAAGTGAAAAGTGAGGGTGAAGATATAATGTAGGATTCTTTTTCTAAAAGTCTGGTGACAGAAAGTGATAAACCACCTTTTTGTGTAAAATATTTGAACATTTTCCGATTCATGCCATCCTCAGCAAAGTTGGTACTTGATACTTTAGTATTCATTTACTCTTGATAAACAAAATTATGATGGTTAAAAAGACGATTAAAGAAACGTCTGTTAAGGTACTATAGACTTCTGATGAGAAGACGTAGAGTACTTAACATCAAATTTGCGTCTACGTCAATTCTGTCTAAGTCTATTTAGTATTAAGGCAAATCGTGTTCAGACCCATTAAAAAGACCGAAAGTACTCGTCTCAGTATCATTGGAATTTGAGAAAGTTATCGTAAGGGGACTTAAACGTTTGATTTTAACTAACCTTAATGTTTATGAAAATCATTCTTTAATACTATAAACCGAAAATAATTCGAATGCTGCTGGAAACCAATTCTGTTGACAGAGCATTTTCAGATAATATAAGTTTTGAAAGTTATTCAATTTTAATTGATTTCAAAAAACCAAAGTGAACTAAAGGAAAATTTTGGATTTCATTATTTTTTGTATTACAAATCAACATCCTAGTATCACAGATAAATTCAATCATACATATAGCTATTTGTACTGCATCTCTTACCTCGGGAATGAGACACCAGTCAATCACTGCCTAACGAGCTTTGGTAATGTAAAGATTTACCTACCTTCAGCACCATGAAATATTAACTTGTTGGACACTCGACTCCAATATATCAGAAGAGGTAGCACTGTGGCTGCTATACAGGAAGCTAGCAAACATAATCTGCGTCTCATATTGTGCTCATCGCCTCAGAATAAGCTCTGAGTAGCAACTACCAGTAAAGTGTGCCACGGCGCAGCTGGTTCTACGTCACCTTGAGTGGCTGTGGTATTCGAGGAAATGCGTCGTTCTTCAGAAGTCCCGTATGCAGGAGGAAAGGGGGGTGGGGTGGGATCGAAAGAAGCGCCATTTTGGCTAGAAAAGGTTCAGTCTGAATCAAAATTTTATCTGCTTTCTCTAACCATACCATAACCATACCATTTTTATGTCGTGGTAAAAAGGTCCATTAGAAATTATGATGAAATGGTAATTAAAAGTCGAGTTTAAAAGGTCCATTAGAAGTTTCCCTCTACCAGAACCACAGATTGATTTTTCACAAGATATTGACAGATATGTCTTTGGATAAATAGACAGTCATTTAACCCTCTGCCACTTTTTGAAATTTGCCTGTAATATCTGCAACCATGGTAGAGGTATTTAGAAGTAATGATGTGATAAAAAAATTAATAAATAAATAGAAATAAAAAATAAACCCATTAGGAATCACTGGCTACAGGAGTAAGTGCTTAGCAACTAGGATATGTTCTACACTACAGAGTGGTGCAGCTAGAGAAAGATAGATTAATTATCCTCCTGAAACCTCACATTTGAAGCGTGACTTACGTGTTTCTTGACTCCATTGCACTGCGTATGTGATATATTTTTGGGTAAACTTCATATTCAGCCGTATATCTTCTATACCACCACTATATTAAAAATGCAAATGAAAATGCTAGACCATGGTTATTTTTACCAAGTCCGCTACCATCTCAGCATGAGACAAATGTATTGAAATGTTACTCAAGGTGCTCGAAAAGCATTGAAAACTGGTTTCTTGAATTTCAAAACTAAAGCACACGAGACGGAATGACTCCATGACATTTTTTGACATTAAAAAAAGGGAGGGGGGGGGGGGGAACTAGCGTACCAGAGAGGCGCTCCCGCCGTCTTGGTATGTACCACCAACTGAATAAGGCACACTACATGGATACATAACATAGATTCAAAGAACAACAGCTAGAGTTTTTAAATTTGGTTCATAACGGCAAACGCTGGTGGTATAGTTAACAGGGGCAGTTTATATGCCAGTCAGAGCGAAGAAAAAAAATTACAAGTACACAAAACTTCACGAAAATAAATTATTTATTTAGTTTTACAAATAGTCATACACTTACACAGTGGTATATATCTTGTTTAATATCTCACCAAGTCTCTCCCACTATCTCCCATTTGGTTTTCCAAAAATGCAACATTTTCACAGCTGTAATACACATATTATTAATAATAATAAACAATGTATATCAAATATGTACATACCTCAGTCACAAGTATCACAAATTTTATATGTATAAACATTCAGTGTATAGAAGAATAGCTTTACAGCACGTACTCTATTATATTAAATATACAGCATTGTATATATACAAACACAAACTGAAAGACACCTCCTTTGTATCAAGGTAGAGATGTGCACATTTACAAACTTACGGAGCATGTAAAAGATCGATTACTAAACCTTATTGATTAGACAATTATATAAGATACGGACCTGGGTTACATATCAACACATTAACGTAACAGTCAACTGAATGTTAGTAATGTACAAAATCTACAATCATTGATCCAAAATGGCAAACAACTTCTCCAGGCCTACAAAAACATAAACTGCCCCAGCAATGCCGCTTCAAGGTGGCTGAAATTGTAGCTTTCAAGACAAGGAGATCTATTCTTTGGCATCAAGAATAGTAATATTGCTATGAAGAAATAGGATTTAAGGTCAAAAAGTGTAGAAAAAACACCCAGGTTAGTAGAAAAGGAAACTGTTAATCCTCCAAAACTTGTCCCTCAAAGGTGCCTCTTCACTTAGAAAGAGGACTCATAAAATATTCAGGTGTGCAACCAAATGAGGAAATCTATCAATTTTACTACCATAACTTTAAAACAAACAAGTTTCAAAATAAAAAAGGAAGAATGTAGATTATAAAAACAAAAACATCAAGCCTACATGAAGCAAAGGGATAAACCTAAAGCAAGCGATATTACCACTATTACCAATTGCAAGGCCAAACACAACAAAAATTTGCTTGCCAGATTAAAGTTGCTGAAAAATGTTCACGAAAAAAAGCCAAACTTAAAACTTTCAGCACTACAATTGGCATACATAAGAAAAATATCAATAAAGAAAAAACAGTTAACAATACTTTATTTAAGTGGAACATTGTTACCTTACTTAATATTCCAAGTACATAGTATGGCAGCCAATATGAGCAAAACCCTAGGGCTCATTGAAAGGGAAAGTCATTCATGACAAATCTGGCAAATAGGGTCCTATTTTCACAAAACATACCTCAGCCCATTGCCCAAAGATAATTTAAGCTGATATATAAATAATTAAACATACATCATTCCCAACACAGGAGCAGGTAAAAAATCAGAAACCATCCACTTATTCAACTATCTAAGCCATACATTTCACAACAATAATCTACATTCAGTAACTGATTGAATAAAACAACCATAATAAATATCAAGCCATCATTTATGGTTAAAAAATACACTTTGCTGACTATGCAAATAAGCAACCTTCATCAATTATAGACAACTTTTTTCTACATCTTTCACAAGGTACTTGACAAGTATAACAGATAATTGACTAATAACATTCCCACACAATTAAAGTAGACTGAACCTTTCACCACATCCACAGTTTCGCAGGCTATCACAACAAATTTAAAATTGCATTATTTCTTTCAAGACTACTTTCCACCACTGAACAAAAAGAAAAAGAGAATATTCCAAATTTAAGTAGTTCAAGGTTTATGGTCTTGGTTACAATTTCATGCTAAAGCTCTAAAAAACCTATTAAGTTGTCTGTACAGTTTGTCATTAATACAATGACCTTGGAATAATCTATAAAATCTGTACACCCATCTTTTGTAATGAGAAATAAGGCAAAGTAACAACAAAATAATAATTATAATAATTAACAAATGAGAAATATTAACAGAAAGACAAAATATATATGATACAATTATAAACAAAACTTAACCACACTACGTAAAAACAGTTGACCTCTTTAGTTTAAACTACACATTTCTAGCTAAAAATAAGAGTCAAGGGGTTTATTCTGAATTTGAAAAGAAAAGAAAGAATTACAGAGAGGGATGCCATAACAGGACTTAAATTTTCTACAAACATGCTGATGTTTCTCCACTATCATACTGAAAACATCTGCAGTATGCAAAATAAAGGAAAGAAAGATCGTCTTGAAAATGACTCAATTCTTCTCGTTTTTAATTGTACAAAGCGAAAGATGACCCCTTTTTTAGAAGTACTCTTTCATAAGCTCCAGTTATTTATCAAAATCAATAGCCAAATATAGGGAAAACATTAAAACTATTTAATCATAACAAAAATATAACTAGCTATAAATTCAAACACGATTATTGAAAGAATTTATGACAGGATGCCAACAAGAAATGCACGATTGGAAATTGAGAAGAAAAACTATTTCAAAGAACATTCACTCTGAACTGGTTATCCCAGATGCCTGTAGATTGATGCCTGGGTGAATCTGGTTTATAGGCTCTTGCTCTGAGGGACCAGGATGATGTGGTCACGTCTTCAGCAATTGGCTGTACCAGTTTTCCTGTCCAACTCTGCCATCAATTCTTGAATTGCAGCCTCAAGGTTGACATTAAGTTTTCTGCCCCTAAAGTGTAAAATGTATTGATATAAGCTTCAATTATATTGATAATTACAAAATATGTTTGCCTGGACTTATATATTTCTTTAGAGAAGAGAGACAAAAGACAATAAACTGGCAAATGGAAAGAAAACATAAGCTTCCAATATGACCAACTGTCTTAAGCTAAAATTATGGTACCTTGGCATACAAGTAACATTATTTTCTTTTTATTGTTACTGACTCTAGGGAGCATCAATCAGTGGTGCTCGGTACAAGCCTTATCCTGTGTTATCATTCTCTCTATTGCTCTGGAGTTACTTCTGGGCATAAACCATCATTGACCCCATATCCCTGAACTTACTTTCTCTGTTTCTTGCCATCGCTGTGGTGTGCCTCCAGTCCCTCCGAGAGGGTCTTCAGCTTGTCCTGCTCTACCTGTGTGAAGGAATGGTCTCCATACCATCGCACCCAGAACTAGACAACAGAGAAGGAACTAAATTATGTGTCATGAATGTACAGATGAAAGCAGAAGTGAGTGTTTGTTCTTACTTTTCTCTTTCATTTTTGGTTATATACAAATGTAATTGCTGTGCATTTTTTCTGTTTGTGATTGTGTTTCAAAGGAAATACCATCACATTTACTTGCAAAATAATGGTAACTTAATAGGAGATCGACTTTCAGAGTTAATGAGTTTCACATTGCCAAATGCTGTTACTCCAGCATATTGAAGACAATTTATAATGGGGCGGGGTTAGGTATGGAAAAATATGAAGTCACAGCCCATTTCTATGAATAAAACATGGCCATCATACTTTGATAGTGATCTTTAATTTTCTATTTAACCAAAAGATTACAACTATTACAATCTGAAAACAAACCCAACAAAGTGCATCTATATAAAAGTGTGCTAGAGGTTTGGAAGAGACTACCAAATTAAACCAATCCTTCTCCACTTCAGTCTCCTATGGGGAAATTCCTCATTTCTATTACTTCTAATATTTACCTTCCCAGGTTCCGTAGGAGCACACTTGTTGCTGCGGACTTCATTTTCATTGACAAGTTTCCCTGGCCAGGAAGGACAGCCCCTCACTTGCCCCCACACTAGGTCTCCTACCTGGAAGGACCTCTGGCTGGCTGGCATGCCTTTTGTCATTGAGGAGAACTCGGACTCACCTGAAAGTAGCAGGTTTATTATCAAAACAGCATGAATCCTCAGCCTGGGGTGTAAATTGACTTTACTATGTAGACCAAACACTGACAAGCCCACGAATTCAATGCCAAGCACCGAACCATACCACATATGCAACATGCACCAAGAACGAGTAAGAAACAAAAAGTGTGTTAATTTTTTTAAAGAAATGAAAAAAATATCTAAAGTATAAAGTCACATCTGGCAAAAGTTGGCTGGTAACTACAACTACAAGGTTCATCAATCACAAAGATCTACTTACATTCACTAGTTTCATCCTCTTCCACCAGAGCTCTCTTCTGCCCCTTCCCAACGTAGTTCGAGATGGAACTGTCTCCAGTCCTGTACACCTTCACTTTGCTGTCCTGACACTGTTCACCACCACTCTGCTGGAAGTTTTCTGTACCCGTCAAACCATCAGTCAACATTCCCGAAAACTCCTTGACCCTTGTATTTGGGATACCTTGATGTGATGGGCCTAATTCTTCATCTACTTCATCTTTGGCAGTATGGTTGCTATCAAAATCATGGTGGTGGTTCATCATGGCAGTGGGTACTGGATGGTCTTCATCCATACTATCCCGAGGCAGACCACCTACTGCTTCAGCCAGCTGCCATTTTCCCCCTTCTGCCCCCTTAATATGCTGGCTAGTGTCCACTGCTGCATTCTCAGGCCAGTGAAGGGCAGCCTGGCTGTGTTGTCCATCATGCTGTTGTTGATTTTGTATGTGGTTCACACCAGACTGGGCTGCAGCAGGACCAGGCACCTTTGACTCTCCACCATTGATTGCATCAGGGCTGTAAGTACTTGAACTGCAGGATGTTGTGATGTAATTGCTAGGCAGCTGGTGTTCTGTCTTCAAGCTCCTAACAGTGCTGTTGTCTACATATTTATGCTTACTTTCTTGGCCACTAGCTGGAACCACAGCTGCTGCCTGATGAAAGGCTGACTGCTGTTGGGCAATTTGCTCCTGTTGCTGCTGGCCTGCAATCCATGTTGAATGAGACCTATTCTGGTCTCCTTCCATTTCAAACATTTCTTGTTTTACCTCAGAAATGTGCTGACCTTGCAGACTTGTTTCATGATTTTCCTGAAAGCCCTGATAACTTATGTCCTGATCTTGGCCTAGTTGGTGACCTTGACCTGTTTCATGACCTTTTTGATCTTCCTGCTGACCTTCATAATGGCCTTGATCTGATGCAGCAGATGATACTGGGGGCATCTGACTCTGACCAACACACATGTGGATATTTTGCTGCTGTCTATGCATAAACTGTTGCAGCATGTCTGCATTCAGTCCTTGGACTGAGTTGGCACCATAGCTGAAATGACCTTGGCCTTCATAAAAGTTGCCCTGTTCTCCCGTGTTCTGAGACTCAGCACTGGCTGTTGGCAAAGGTCCTTTTGGGGTGGGCATGTGGGCATTGCTAACATGGACTCTTGGCATAATTTGCTCTGCTGGTTGGCCCACTGGCATACATGAAACAAAGGGAAGTTGCTGGCCTGCCATGTTGTTCCCCATGTTCACCATACCACCTGGTCTCATCTGCCCCCCTGGATACTGAAGTCTGGGTGGGGTACCAAATGACTGTTGGCTCCCCTGGGGCAAAATAGGGTGAGGTTGGGATACTACCCCCCTGGGAGGCTGTGCACCCATCATCATCATAGGTGGTTGTCCCTGGGCCTGCATCTGTAGCATACTTGCTATGGTAGGGGTGCTGGACTTTCTTGCCCCCACCCCTCTTCGTTTATACTTGTACTTGTTTTCCCCTTTAGGAGTAGAGTTCCTAGGTGGGGTGCTCTGGCGAGACTGACAGCTTGCAGGACTCTTGGCCTCAAAACTGCTGTTGCTACTAAAGCTGCTGTTCAGGGAGTCATTTTCAACCCCATGTGAGTTAGACTGGTTTGGAGCTGATTTTCTCAGTATTTCTTCCGTGGTCATGAGAGCTGATTGTGCAAGCATGTTGTGCACATGTTGACTGGCAGAGACCACTGTGTTCATGATAGAAGCACTTCCAGATAGGTCCCCAGGTGAACACACTGTGCTGCTCCCTGGGCTGGGGCTATTTCTAGACATGGCCTCAGATGTGTCCACAGTCAACTTAGGAGCCATTTCTTTCTTTGCAGGTGACTCAGCTGCCGTGCTATTACTGGAGAGAGGCAAGTTTACACTGTCCAAACTGGTGGAGTGATCTGGAGATGGTTTTTTCTCACTTCCACTGGTACTCCCAGCTGGTGATTTGGAAATGTAACCCATATCTGTGCTTCCAGATCGGTCTGCAACTCGGCAACCTCCAGCACTAGACCCGCGGCTGCTATTGGAGCTACTTGAGCTTGACCTCTTCCCACCTTTGATTTGAGTTTGATCAATTCTCATAGCTGCTGCAGCCTCCAGGGCATTTTGAGTAGCTTCAAGTCCATGGATCATGTTCTGTACTAGCTGTATGGGAGAAGGCTCAGCTTTTGTTGGGGTTGGGGTCACTGCAGCCCCTCCACCCTCCTGTGATGGCACATTTCCAAGAGGAATAGCAGCAGGGAAGTTAAATACACGATTGTCAGCTGCCATCTTCGGGGAGCTGGTGGCTCTTGGTCCCATAGGATTTGGCGACGCAATTTTATTTGCACCTCTCTGTTTTTTATTATTAGGTGGGTTGCTTTGCATTGGCATCATCATTTGTGGGGCATGTACCTGCATTCCTATGGGGAATCTCTGCCCTTGCATCATGTTATTTGGGGGAAAAGTCATTGGCATATTAGGTCTAATCTGCTGGGGGTGATTCATAGGCATTCTATTCATTGGCATGTCTTGAAGGTGTTGCATCATCATTTGTTGCTGCTGTTGCTGCTGGGGGTTGTTGTTGGCCATCATCATCATGTGAGGTTGGCCTTGGGTTGGCTGACCTTGGTGACCCTGCATTGGGTGAGCTTGAACTTGACCTTGAGCCCTTGCTGCTGCTGATAAGAATTGACTTGCTGGGAAACTCCCTCCAGTGTTTGAAGGTTGGGGAGGAAAACCAGACTGCTGATGCATATTCTTTACATTCCCAGCTGCTCCTGCTGCAGTTGTTGAGAAGCCAACACCAAACCGTTGGGGCTGAAACTGATGTGGAATCATGTTAGGCCCCATAACCATAGCCTGATGATTTTTATTCTGGTTCTGATTTCCCTTTTTTCCCTTTCCTTTGGCTGACTTTTTACCTGTTGACTGTCCCTGATCTGGCTGTTGTTGGTATGGCGACAAAAGCGCCATCTGTTGAAGGTCTGGCAACCCCCATGGGCCGTGAGGTGGTATTCCTTGTGGAGGAAAATTTTGAAATTGATGCATTAGATGAGGTCCTGGTCCACCAGCTGCAGACATGTAACCTTGACCCATAAACATAGGATGACCTTGAACTTGATTTGGATTCAAGGGAAATGGAAATACATTTCCTGTGGGTGACATAGGACCAGGAGATGGCATGGAAAGGGGCGTTGTTCTTGACGATGATGCCGGAGTGGCCGATTGGGATCTTCTTCCTGGAGACATGATTGGTTGTGACGAAAATGAATGACTTCGATTTCTCACAGGCTGGGATGGGGGACTAGATATGTGCCTTCCAGAAGGATTCACACCTCCATCATTTTCAACTGACCCCAATTCCATGGATGCTGGAATTTGGTTCAGATTCACAGGACTGATATGCTGTAATAGCTGCTGTTGTTGATTCTGTTGTGCTTGTTGGAAATAGATAAGATGTTGCTGTTGTTGATGCAGCAGGTGTTGTTGTTGCTGGTGTTGTGGGGAGGCTTCCTGTGCTGAAAATCCTACCGGGAATTCCCCTTTATTACCAACTTCTGAAGCAGGAACCTGCAGCATGCTTGCGCCAGTGCACATTTCCACAGAAGAGATTTGATCAGAATTATGAGATCCATGTTTTTGCTGGTTCTGTTGTGTGTCTGCTGTTGAAACAACATATTGTCCATTCTGAGGCAATTCCGATGATGATGATGATGACAATGATGATGATGATGATGGCACTAGTTCAGGTTTAGAAGCAATGGAAGGATGAGGGCTGTCCAGTGAGAACTGTTTCTGACCTAATTGTACATCAAATGGTTTGACACCACCTCCTGCAGCCTGCTCATAATGTCTACTCCCCTCTTCAGCACCTTTCTCTGGCCTTTCTGCACCAGCAAAATGTGCACCAGAAGCACATTGTGATGTGCCACTTGATGATGCTACTGTTACTGCAGTCACATTTGTGGATGGTGCCTGCACTACTGTGCTGACTGTAGAAGAAACAACGCACTGTTTTGACTTCCCAATGCCCTCCTCGCCCTGGGCATTCAACTGCTGTGCTTTTCTTGCTATTTCCATTTGCTGTTCCAGCTGCGCTTTCCCTAAAATTTCTTTCACTTTATTCATGATGGTAGCTTCATCTTTTTCCTCTTCTATCTTAGAAGACTTGGCGGAAGACCTGGAAGAGGATGATGCTACTGTTCCACTGAGATTGTTACCATTACTGCTGTTTGCCACCTTCTCTGTGGTACTGTGAGATTCTGGTGGTAGTTTACTGGCTTGGACATTTGTGAGATTGACACTGGCGGCCGAGCTGCTGGTCTAAAATTGACACAAAAAGAAAGGAATGTAAGTTTAAATTATCAAGATATACCAGACTTCTGTATCACTAACTGCCTTTAAGTAAAATTTGTTAACATTTCAATGGGATATGGTTTACTTGCTCTCTTCTTCACTTTTGATGCTAAAAAAATCATTTGTAGAGATTATTCCTTTAAATTAATTGTAATCAATCCAATAATGTTAAAAACATTTTCCTACATAATGTCACATCATATGTTTCTTGCTCTTCACAATCTCCTACCTTCTGCTTTTTAGACTTTGTTGCTTTCTTCTTCTTCTTAGGAGGTGGAGACCAATCGGGTATGCTGTTGATCATGGGGTTTAGAGGAATCATCCCCGCTGGCCCTCCAGGGGGAAAATTGGGGGTGCTGGTTGAAGAATGGCACCATAGGGTTATTGTGGGGTGGGGACATCATGGGATTATGCATTGGGTGCATAGGGGAGGGGTGAGCACCCGGACCCATGGAATTAAACTCTCCCATATTTTGTGGCATCCCAGGGGAAAAGTTCTGAAATCTCTGCTGGCCTGGCATCCTCATCATTGGCATTTGTTGCATCTGGGAGAATTCTGGTAGGAAGTTATCTCCTTGTACCATAATAGGGAACCTATTGTGTGGTGAGGTGCCAGCACCAGTAGGGATTCCACCATTTGCGCCAGCGGTGCCCGCACCAGCATGGCGGGGCATCCCCATGTTTCCATGGTGCTGAAGTGCCCCTGTTGTGGTGCCAGAAGGTACCATCATGTCCACCCCATGCTGTATCCCCATGACTCCTTGCATAGCTTGAGGAGGGAACCCCATCATTCTTTGCTGCATTTCTATCATGGCTTGCGGGTGAAGGTTGGTTGGAAACTCGCCCCCTTGGGGCAGTAAATTCCCCTGGGGCAGTGGACCCCCCTGGGGTACTCCAGCCCCATTGTTCAACTGTGATTCCCCACTCAACTGCTCTTTCACCAAATCCACTCCTAGGTTAGGTAGTGGTTTGCTGCCTTTTTGGTTTTGCAGTTCCATCAGCATCTCTTGGGCACTCTTCAGCCCCTGTAGTTTTGGTGTCTGCATCCCATCCTGCGTGCTACCGCTTTCACTACTGTCTGTTTGCAGTTTATCTCCGTACAAACCATCACAGAAATGATCTGTTAAGAACTGCTGTTTTCCACTTATAATTGCCTCGGCTGAGGGCCACTGGAAACTGGAGGGTCCTCCCCCGCCTCCAACCCCTTCCTCCACTCCACCCAGTCCTTTGTTTTTAGCTAGCAGCATTTTGTCCCTCTCTGCCAACAACTGGGAGACTAGTACACCTTCATATTTGTGCTTCTGTTTAGGAGATTTCTTTTTTTGCTGTTTCAGAGTTAGTGATTTCTTGGTGTCTGGAAAAAGGAAAAATAGGATGTTCTTTGTTAATAAGGTTTTTGGGCCATGCTAAAGAACGCTTGATATAGACTACAGAACTGGGTCAAAATTTATATTGATGATTAATACATAACAATTTGGTTGAATCACTGTGCTTACAATTCTGCTACATTAATTTATGGTCTGCAGGGAAATCAATACCAATCCCTGCCTAAAATAACAACTTTTGTATGTTGTTGGTAAAAACTGTACAGTAGCAAGAAAACAAGCATGTCTTCATTCACAACATCCAATTCCTATCTACCTAACAGTGAATATCTGCATCTCTTACCACCTTTTTTCTTCTTTTTCTCATTCCCTCCATCTTCAATCTCCATTGTGCCAACAGCCTGCTGCTGCATCAGTCGACTATGCTGGAATGTTGCTAGGGCCAACAATTTCCGCTTATGAATACACAGGTTGGACTTCATGGCATCGTTCATCAGTATATCCTCCGCAGTGCAGGGCTTGGACGGCTTGCTGACATCGAAGTTGAAGACTTTATTGACCACCAGGGGACACTCCAATCCACACTTACACGTCCCTTCTGATTGTAAGTACTGAATGACTTCCTCTGTGGATGTTAACCGCATTTTGTTGGCACTGTAAGCAGGAAGATTTAAATTAATAACTATCATTTTTTGTTGGTTTTTTTCATACATCAAGTCTCAATATAGCTGATCTTTGCGGAGTGACACCAATCACATGAGTCAAGAGAGGAAATATGTAATGGAAGTTAATAGCTTACCCCTTAAGAATATTATTGTGACATGAAAATCAACAACGGATTTCAACAAGTTGCCAATAGGTGAAAGAATGTGTCAAAATCTCTCCTAGCAAACACTGATCTTTTAAGTATATATTTCTTGTGGGGGTTTTCACCCTCTCCTCCAAAATACTAATGAAAATTAAATTGTTGCAGAAACAAAGCATTATTCTATTTAAGAAACATGGTGATTGTCACAGGAAGGAATCATTTATGTGATTAAGTCCCTTTGATGAAGGATTGAAAAGCTCCATGCCTCACAGGTAGGAAATGCACTGCTGTCTCTTTAGATTTTGATTTGTTCTCACATCGTAGGTCTATTAATCTTATCTTGTTGACCAACTCCAATCCTTCGGTAAGCCAGTGGGAAAGAAATAAGTATGTGTACATCCAAATGGTATGTTACCAACACCCATGTAGTCTATATGGTCATGACCATGTCCAACTTACACAACTCTTGACAAAACGGCCATGCTTCCCTTACCAAAGACACAAATACAACTAATCCTGCCTGTGAAAATCAACACACAGATGTTTGTAACAAGTTACATAATAACTTACGGCAACCTGTGCCTGGTACATTAAATTCCAGTCTTCCTGATTCCAGTGCTTACTAACCAGAGATGAAAAAGGGGGAAAAGGAAGGATGGCCACCTGCCGAAATGACAATACTTCTGAAGGCTTAAAGAACCATCAAAAGTTCTTTTCTTATGTATTTTGTCTTTCAAATGTCCCATTATTTTGTCAACAGGGATTTGAAGCCTACTTTTCCTGTTCTATTTAACCCACCATTCTTATGACCATACATAAAAGGAATCTCTTGCTTCTGATCATTACACAGAGGCTTCAAAGTGGTTCTTTTCATCTACCTTAAGAGGCTTATGGTACATGACTTAAAGCAGCACTGAAACTCCATGTGAAGTATTTTGTTTTGACAAAGGTAAAATTTGTTTGACTATAATCATCATTATTATTATCATTACTTCCATCATCGCCATTATTATTATTATTATTATTATTATTATTATTATTATTATTATTATTATCTGAATTTATCAAATTTTGCTTTGGGAGACTGCAGATTTTCTCTCCATCAAACCACATCCCACAAGCCCCAAATTTGGTACATCTATTATACATGTTGGAACAATTTCATTAATTCTGCCATTTTACAGGCACTCTAGAATAAATGTTTTTTAAGCGCCATTTTGGACAGATTTTTCATTAATTAAAGTCAGCTGGGACCATGTTATTGAGAAGCATGCAGATTAGATTTCTTAAACATTGAAAAAATCACAGAACACTTTTGGATCAATACCTCCCAACAAATGTATTTGGACTGTTAAATTAATTAGGTATTCGGTCCATTTAAACACTAAGAAAACTGTATGTTAATGTACCGCAAATGCTCTTATTCCACATAATACAGACCAAAATGTATGGAAAATTTGTTTTAAAAAGGCCCCAGTAAAAAAATCCTGTCCAAAAATGCTTTAAATGTCTATTTTTTTTTAAACCAAAAGCCAAAACACTATCTTTCCTTCAATTATCCATTTTCAGGACATATGAAATTAAGCCTAATATCCCATACTGAGAGCCAGCAATTTTCTCTACATGAAACTCCTATTTATAGACAGCTAAGTGCTCAATCCTGAACAAGTCTGAAGAAATGGCTTGGTTCATGCAATTATGTGTTTTTTTTATGATATGTTAGAGAATGTTGTTTTTTAAGTGCTCACTAAAATGGGAAGGCACTTCACTGATTGGCAAATGGCCAAATGCAATTATTCTTCAGAAGAATGTGCTCTATTTTTTTTTCTTTTACATTTCTGGAGAATCACAAAATTACAGTACTTGAAAGCTAGAATACAAATAAGATTTTTTTAATCTTGGCTCAAGGACATAACTCCAAAGATGTACCTCTCTTAGAACAAAGAGTTTCATACAGAATTAATAATCAAGGGTTTAAAAAGGTCTTTTCTCATTAATCCCATGTCATTTTAAAAATGTAAACCAATAATATCAAGTTATAATTAATTCTACACAAAAACACCAAAGATTTATGAATCCTTTCCTGAAAAAGAAGACTAAAAGGGAAATCTCTATCCAAATTATCAGTATACTTCCTGTTTGAATGAATGCTATCCCTGCACACTTCTATTTGAAAAGGGTTGCTGGTTGTCACATGTTGCCATGGAGATGCATGACCTTCTGACTAGAAACAATTTCTTTACAGTTCATGCAACAATGCAAGTACAAAGTCAGGATTACTGGAGCATGCCATAAAGCCAACTTAACAACAAATAGAACACCCAAGTTTATCGATAAATGAAAAACTGGAGGTCTTCAAAGCTTGCACTCAAGAGGAAGAAAATGAACTGTTAAAATTTTGTATGTATTCAGTCGTGGAATCAATAGCAATTGTTGCTTTACAACTTAAATCGTGTGCTGTTTGTAGCTGTATTATTCCCCTAAGATAAATCTTCTTCAAGGCATATTACTATCAATTTTTTTTCTGAATAAGTAAAAAAAAAAATTAAATGTTAAACTAACAGCCAATACACACATAATCTCCTTTAAAACCTACTATTTTAAGTAAGAAATATAAAATATCAATGACTCCAAGAATAGACAAACCCACAGCAAGAAAATGAGCATACTTAACTGCACTGAAATATAAGAGGAAAATACCTCTGACAAATATGTGTGTGTGTGTGTGTGAGAGAGAGAGAGAGAGAAAGAGAGAGAGAGAGAAAACCTCTGACATGTGCATGTGCTTGTGTGTACGTACATGAGGGAGAAGGTAATGTATTTTCATCATTTCTGTCAATTGATCTACCATCATCTTGATACTCAAGCAAATAAGAACAGCTCAGGTGTGTCTGCAAAATACTACTCATTCAGCTTGCAGCTGGGCACATGCGTACCTTGGGTAACATGAACAATCTGTTACTAAGAATGTCTTACCTAATAGCCTTAAACTGACTAGAAAACAATCCCTTTAAAGTCAAATTACACAGGGATAAAGGGTTCATTTTGCTATCTACGAGTACTGGAATATTAAATTTTATGGGGTTAAAAAATTTGCTATTTCATATTGTTTTTTTAATCAAAATAGAATTTAAAAAAAAAAAGAAAAAAAAATGGGTCAGATAAATTACTCTGGACAGAAAAAAAAGGGTAGGCAGGGTACTGAAAGCCAATGAGCAGTTATTTTTATGAGCATAGGAATTTCCTCAGAGTATTAAAAATCAGTTAATATCTGCATTCCATTT